AATGGCCCAAATTGGTATCTAGTACATGAGCAGACTTTCTGTCAATGGGGATGTCTCATGAAAAGTGGTTCCCAACTGGTCAAGTACTGCAGGGAATAACCTTTGGGTGAGAAGTAGATTATTAGACAGAAAAGTAACCTGTCAATAAGTATAGGCTATAGATTTCGTCTTATGTTTTTCTTTTACCTGTAACCGTATGTTTCTAAATCCTTATATTTGATTTTATTTGAATCTTTAGCTCAAGCCTTGTCTCCCCCTGCCTGAGGTGAGTGCGGGTGATCCCCTGATTGTCTCCCCCTGCCTAAGGTGAGTGCGGGCGATCCCCTGCCTGTCTCCCACTGCCTGAGGTGAGTGCGGGTGATCCCCTGATTGTCTCCCCCTGCCTGAGGTGAGTGCGGGTGATCCCCTGCCTGTCTCCCACTGCCTGAGGGGAGTGTGGGTGATCCCCTGCCTGTCTCCCACTGCCTGAGGTGAGCGTGCACGATCCCTTGACTGACTCCCCTCCCCAGGGGATAGTTTCTAAGTACCTAGGCATCTAGGGGGAGGAGGGGACTATTTTGTAGTAGAGGGTTCTTTAATCTAGCAGACAAAGGCAGACTGCAATGGCTGGAGGCTGCAGCTATACAAATTCAGGCTGGCAATAAAGTGTCTATTTCTAAAAGACGGTATGATGAAGTGGGAATTTTCTGTAATATTTTTATGAATCCTCTGTGCCTCAGCTTCCCCATTTTTTGCATGGCTACCCAGTGGAGGGGAAAGGAGTAAGTTTGCTTTAAGGGCAGGCTAAGAGATGTAGCTCTGTGTGTGTTGCCTAGCTGTCCCTGAATGAGTCATGAAAAGGACTGGTTGAGGGTGACCCCATCTCAGTGAAAAGAACGAGGAGTACTTGTGGCACCTTAGAGACTGACACATTTATTTGGGCATACCAGTGGAAAATCTGAGAAAACAATGGAAAACCCAATCACCGAGACATTGATACCTAGCAACCAATGACCCAGAGGGGGCGGACTTCCCCATCTCTCAGCAGGGAAGCCAAACCGAGACCCCATCTGGAGAAGAAAAGACTGAGAGGTGTGAGGTGGGGGATGGAGTGTTTTCTTCTGGAGGAAGCTGGGGGCTCTCTCACCTAGGAACTGGCTAAGGAGGTGAGAGTGAGAGAGACATACAGAGCCTGAATATGGGGGTATGTCTACACTGCGAAGTTGAAAGACAAAACTTTTGTCTTTCACGGGTACTTAACCACCCTCCCGCGAAAGACAAAAGTTTTGCCGATGCAAGTGGCAGTGTGAACGTGGCTAGTGCTCCTGCCGAAAAAGCTAATGCCGCTCACGGGGCTGGAAGTATTTTGTCGGCAAAAGTGCCAACAAAGTACCGACAAAGAGTGTTTACACACGCTGACTTTTAGCGACAAAGCTGTGTCGACACAGCCTTGTCGCTAAAAGCTGCATAGTGTAGACAAGCCCTTAGATTCACCATAGCTTGGCTGACTAGAATGGACTATGGTTTAACCTTTGTTCCTCTGTGCTAATCTAAGGACTTCCTTTGCCGTGTGCCAGTTGCTAATAAACCTGACTGTTTTGACAGTGCTTCTCCAGTGTCACAGCTAATACTGGGTGCAGTGCATTAATCCCTGCAGGATGTACATGTCTCTACCAGGAGTGAGTCTATTTCAGTTGGACTTGCTGGGCTGAGTTCACAGTGTGAAGCAGAAGGGTTGGAGCCCAGAGATTCAATCTCAGGAGGAGATAAGGCCATGTGGCCTACCCTGAAGGAAGAGTGGGACCACTGGGGGGGTCAGGCACCATCAAAGGGGGACTCACTTCCAAAGCTGGGGGCATAGCACTGATCCTGTGGATCCGTGGCAGAGGGTAATTAACCACTGGAACAATTTACCCAGGGTGAGAGTGGCTGGAGATTTTGGTTAAAGTCTGCAGCTTTGGGGGCATGGACCAGACCTAGGTCTGTGTTGCAGCAGGCTAGTGTGTCTGGCTCAACAAGGCAGGGTTCTGCAGTCCCAAGCTGGCAGGGAAAACAGGCTCAGAGATGATTTCAGCACATCAGGTGACAGTCCCAAGGGGGTTTCTGTGACTGAACCCATCAAAAGGAGGTCAGACTAGATTATCACAATGGCTCCTCCTGACCTTAGATTCTATGAATCTCTATGCTGTGGATGGAGCAGCCTTGCTCAGCACCAAGAAATTCACAGCCCAGTGACTGCACAAACCATCCCAAGGGAGTTTATAGAGTAGAGCTGAACCTGCTGAGATCAGCCACCAGGTGGCAGTGCGAGCACAGCAAACACAGCTTTTGCACTGGAGCCAGGCAAATGGGAAGTTACAGGTTGGAGCCCTGGGCCCTGTTTTGTGCCAGCCTGCCAATGCCAAGTAGCGTTGCCAACTTTCTAATCACACAAAATCAAACACCCCTGCCCCGCCCCTTCTCCGAGGTCCCACCCCCGCTCACTCCATTCCCCACCCTCACTCATTTTCACTGGGCTGGGGCAGGGGGTTGGGGTTCAGGGGGGGAGGGCTCTGGCTGTGGGCTCTGGAGTGGGGCTGAGGATGAGGGGTTTGGGGTGCAGGAGAGGGCTCCGGGCTGGGGGTTGGGGTGCAGGGGGTTGGGCTTTGGGCTGGGGGTGTGGGTTCTGGGTGGGGCCAAAAATAAGGGGTTCAGGGTGCGGGAGAGGGCTCCAGGCTGGGGTAGGGGGTTGGGGTGTGGGAGGGGGGTGAGGACTCCAGCTGGGGATGCAGGCTCTGGGGTGGGGCTGGAGATGAGGGATTTGGGGTGCAGGAGGGGGCTGGGACAGGATGTTGGAGTGTTGGGGGGGGTAGGCTCTGGGAGGGAATTTGGATGTGGGAGGGGACCCTGGGGTGGGGCAAGGGATTGGGGTGCGGGACAGGGTTTGGGGTAGGGGGTCCCGGCAGCACTTGCCGCGACTCCTGGGAAGCGGCTGCCAGGTCCCTGCACCCCTAGATGCATGGGCGGCCAGGGAGGTTCCACACGCTGCCCTCGCGACCACAGGCGCCACCCCTGCAGCTCCCATTGGTTGCGATTCCCGGCCAATGGGAGCTGCGGAGCTGGCCTTCGGGGCGAGGGCAGCATGCTGAGCCTCCCTGGCTGCCCGTGCATCTAGGGGCTGCAGGGACCTGGCGGCCACTTCCAGGAGCTGCATGGAGCTAGGGCTAGCAGGGAGCCTGCCTTAGCCCCGGGCCCCTGCTGCGCCGCCGACGGGACTTTTAACGGCCCAGTCGGCAAACCGGACGCCTTGACACCCTACTGGCAAGTGATGGGAACAAACTTACGGCAGGCCCTTGTATCTGAATTTTGCTGTGGGCTTGTGGGGGGTGTTGGAACCTGGGGCATGTATTGAGACCCAAAGCAGGAGCCCCAGTCCCATGTGGGGCAGGATCTCTGCAATGGAAAGCCATGCAAAGCATGTTAGAGGATCAGGGAGGAGGGCAGCTGTACAGCAGCATCACTTATAGTAACAGCACCCCCTGAGGTCAGCCTCTCCCCAGGGCTGGGCAGGCACATCCCCAGCATGTGGCTATACCTTACAGTGCAAAATGCTTTGCACCCTACTGCTGCCCTAAGCGCCACAACTCCACCTCTTCCAGGCTGGCCCTGGTCCCTGGAGCAGTGTAGCAGGCCAAGTTGACACGGTGCCTTTAGAACTGGGCAAAAAACTGTTGCTGAGCACACTTAGGCCACGTGGGGTGAGTTCAGCACTGCTCGGGATCAGGCCTTGCATGCAGGAAATTATCCCCCTGCCTCACTTGGCACAGAGCCGGCCTGCATGTGCAGGAAGGAGCTAGTCCCATGTGCTGGCAAAGAGAAAACACAGGTGCTTCTCTGTTGGCCTGGGACGTGTTTCTTTGGCTTTTCATCTAAACCACATCAGTGGACCCGGTGCTATTGGCTCAGTTATCTCTTCAAAGTGGTATGGCCTGAGCCTGCCAACCCACAGTGTTTGCAGTTCAGACAGCACAGAGGCCGGGTCCCTAACTGGCTGTGGGGGAGCTTGTGGAAACCAAGCGGTCGTGCACTGGCCTTCTGCCGACTGCTGATATTCTCCACATTGCCGTTCCCACGCACCCTGCCAACAAACCTGTGCATTAGAATGGTCCCACTAACACATGTTCCCTGGGAACACAGGCCAAAGGAGCTCAGCTCGCAGCCAAGGGACTACTGGGGGACATGGGTATTTGCCCAGCCCTGATGGCGACTAACACATCCCAGCTCCTAGGCACAGCTGCCTGGGGTGCCCAGAGCTGATCAGCTGCAGGGTTGGATTGCTGGGGAAACCAGGGAGCGAATGCTTTCTGCTCCCTTCAGAAAGAGGCAGGAAGTCACAAACTTTCAGGCCAGAGGCATTTATTGTTTGAGCAAGCAACGTAGGTTCAAACAGTCTGTGAGGTGCAGTCCTGGGGCACCCAGCGCGCTGCAGGTGACACAGCCAACCAGGAGCCTTGGGGGATTCAGGGCTCTCCAGTAAGAAGTCCATGTTTACCCCAGGTGCCACCCTGGGGTCCCTGCAGCGGCAGTTTGGGTGCTGCCCATCACCTTGCAATGGGGGAGTGTGGGAACCCCCACAACAGGAAGATATCCCCCCAATAGACTTCCAGCCTGCACCTAGAGCCTGTCCCCAGGGGCAGGCTGGGAGTCTGCCCAGCCCCTGGGGAAGGAGAGGGACCCCAAGGTGGGATGCTTTCTTGGCTTGGCATGAAGGCACAAAAAGGATCTCTCTGCTGGGTAGGGCCAGGGGAGTATTTCCTTCGGGCTGTCTCTGAGGAGGGATCTCAGCCCCTATAGACAGGGCTGGCTCCAGCATTTCTGCCGCCCCAAGCAAAAAAAAAAAAAAAAAAAAAAGCCGCGATCGCAACCAGCGGCGGCAATTGCGGTGGGGAAAAAAAAAAGCCGCGATCGACGGCGGCAGGTCCTTCGCTCCTAGAGGGAGTGAGGGACCTGCCGCCCCCGAATCGCTGCAGGTGCCGCCCCTCTCCCTTGGCCGCCCCAAGCACCTGCTTGTTAAGCTGGTACCTGGAGCCGGCCCTGCCTAAAGAGTGGCAACTGCTTACGCATGTGGCTCCTTTAAGAGCCCCAATTTTCCTTGCACAGAGCAACGCTGGGGCCAGGAAGGGTCTGGTCTCCCAGCTCTTGTTGGGGTCATCCTTGCACTTTCAGCCCCCATTCAGTATCAGGAGCAACAACAGTCCCTGCGAGCAGCTCAGGTCTGTGCAGGCTTCACTGTGGGAGCCCCCTAGATGGCTGCTGCTGGGGGGGGGGGTGTGCTGGGTCAGGCTTGGAATTGGCCCCCAGTGGAACTATGAATACTTTCCCCTTCACCGAGGGTGCATGTGAGGAGACTGGGACACACTCCCACCTGTGTTGGGAGGCTGGAGCCCTTGCCCCCAAGTGGTGATTGCAGGGCTCTGGGTCATGTGTCTCACAGTCCCACCCCAGGGGCAAGTATTGATGGCCTCCAGTCTGCAGATGCTCTGAGCCTGGGGGTAGATGGGGAGCATTGTCTCCAGCCGGGATTGCATCAGCTTCCAGCTTTCAGCACTCGTACTGTGGGGGAGCACAGTGCCCGTTCCTGGGGAGGCAAAGCAGCTGTGAGCCTAGGGGGAGAGTACATCACCCCCATACTCTGGGCAGCAGGATCTCCTGATTGCATGCCCCCATTCTGCTCCCCAATTCATCTCCATCCCCTGCACACCCACCATTAGTGCCCCCATCTCAAAAGGGTGAACTGTAGAAACAGGCTCAAACCCAGTCCCCAGCTCCAACCACCCCCAAGTCGGGGGGAGGTGGGGGCTCAGGACTGAGGGGCACCGGCAGAGCTGGCGGGCTGGGGGGAACCTAGGGCTGGAATAGAAGGGGGCTGTGGCTCGGGACT